ACCCATAGCTCGGTGGTTACAACACCAGCCATGTACACCGAGGCTGGCAGGTTTGAACCCGGACCCTGCCAACTGCAATAAAAAAATAGCCGAGCGTTGTGGCTGGCGCCTGTAGCCAGGCATGGCATTATGGCAGGCGCCTGTTGTCTCAGCTACTGAGAGGCTGAGACAACAGAATCGTTTAAACCCAGGAGTTTGAGGTTGCTGTGAGCTGTGATGCTGTAGTACTCTACTGAGGGCAACATAGTGAGACTCTGTCAGAAAACAAAAACAAACAAAAAAAACCCCGCAGAGTTCTGCTCCACAGCCCCAGGCCAAATTGCCGTGGCCTATGCATAGCTCACAGCAACCTGAAACTCTTGGGTTCAAGCAGTCCTCCCGCCTCAGCCTCCCGTGTACCTGGGAGTACAGGCGCCTGCGAGTGAGCATTGGAAAATGCTTAGTTACTCAGCTGGTGCTGAGCACAGGATGAGAAAAGAATTTCTCTGGACAAAGATTAGGATTGAAAAAAGAGATTTATTTACTTTTTCTAGACGAAAAAACGCCAACACCTTGAAGGAAAGGAAGAATAGGTTGGGCTAAAAGAGCTACTTATTTAGAATTTTTATGTGGGAAATGATTAAAAAAAGAGGATGAAAGATGTTTGATGGCTGTAGTTAAATTAACCGATTGTGGTGAATTGTCGTGTCTGCTCCTTTTATTCTTCTTGGTGGCAGGAATAGAATGGGCTGTGTGAAGCTGTTGTAGCCATTTCTTTTCAGCAGAAATGGCCATTAAGTGATCTTGCCTTAAAGATTTGATTTTTTTGTAGGTTTGAGGCTTGGAATTTGTTTGCTCTATTGTCTGTCCAGGAGCTTTTCAGGAATCACTAGGGGCCACTGGAACAAATTCTCTAAAAGACAAAGGAGGTGGGGAAATGTAAAGAGAAAGAATTTACATTTCCTTTTGGTCTATTGGTCTCCTCAAGAGTTTGTGAGAACCGAAATCTACGGGGTTGGGGGTAGGGGCTGCTGGCAAGAGAAAGAAAGCAAGCGAAGAGAGAGAGATTTTAGGCCCTATTGACAAACTGTGAGTTAATACTATTTTTTTTTAATTTTTCTATAAACTCTACCATCCTTACAACCAGGATACCTGGCTATTTTTTTTATTTTTAGTAGAGATGGGGTATCATTCTTGCTCAGGCTGGTCTTTAACTCCTGAGCTCAAGGGAGCCTCCCGCCTCAGCTTCCTAGAGGGTTTAGGATTACCGGAGTGAGCTATGGTGCTCTGCTTCTTCTTGATACGAATCTTGCTGCTTCTTTTCTGCTTAAATCCTTAAATATATACTCCAAAAACATTTTGTTCTAATATTTTATAGTTGTGGTTTTTGTATTTAGGTCTTTATATTCCGGAATTAATTTTTCTAAATTGTGTAAATTAAGACTCTAACTCCTCCCCCGGGAAGATAGTAATTTCTCCCCAAATCATTTTAGTAAATAGCCCATCTCTCTCCCAGTGACTTGAAATATTTTTATCATTAATTAATTCCAATAAATACCTAGGTCAACTTTGGGATTCTCTTTCTGTGCTATTGATTGTTTTCATCTACTCCCACATCACAAATGTTTTGCTTGTTTGTTTGTTTGGTTGGTTGGTTTTTATTGCAGTTTTTGGCCAGGGCTGGGTTTGAACCCGCCACCTCCGGCATATGGGCCCGTCGTACAAAGTTTTAATTTCTAAAAATATTGGGCCTGGTGTGTTGGCTCACACCTGTAATCCCAGCACTTGGGAAGCCGAGGACGGTGGATTGCCTGAACTCCCAGTTCAAAATCAGCCTGGGCCAGAGGGAGACCCCATCTCTTAAAAAAAAAAAAAAAAACAACAGCAATAGCCGGGCATTGTGGCAGATGCCTGTAGTCCCGGCTACTTGGGAACCTGAGGCAAGAGGATCGCTTGAACCCAAGAGTTTGAGGTTGCTGTGAGCTAAGACGCCATGGCACTCTAAATGAGAGTGACAAAGTGAGACTCTATCTCAAAAAAAAAACATAAATAAAACAAAAATATTGATAATATACTCTGAATCTCATGCCCTCCTCTTTTTTCTTTTGTAAAATTAGCCATTCTTACATGTTTAACACACTATAGAAATTTTAATATCAGGACTACAAGTTGCATTTTGGAATCTTTTTTTTTTGAGACAGAATCTCACTATGTAGCCCTGGGTAGAATCCCCTGGCATCACAGCTCACAGCAACCTCCAACTCTTGGGGTTAAGCAATGTTCTTGCCTCAGCCTCCGAAGTAGCTGGGACTACAGGCACCTGCCACAACGCCTGGCTATTTTTTGGTTGTAGTTGTCATTGTTGTTTAGCAGACCAGGCTGGATTTGAACCTGCCAGCTCTGGTGTATATGGCTGGCGCCCTAGCCGGTGAGCTACAGGTGCCGAGCCTGCATTTTGGAATCTTGATTGGTAATGCACGGGGTTTTTTTTCAAGATTAATTTGGGACTGGGCTCCTGTAGCTCAGTGGCTACAGTAGCTGGAGGGCTCAAACCCAGCCCAAGCCTGCCGAACAACAATGACAACAACAAAAAAAAAAAAAAATAGCCGATCGTCTGCCACAATGCCCGGCTATTTTTTTTTTGTTGTTGTTGTAGTTGTCGTTGTTTAGCAGGACCTGGCTGGGTTTGAACCCACTAGCCGCGGTGTATGTGGTTGGCGCCCTAACCACTGAGCTACACGCGCAGAGCCCTTACTTTCAAGGTTTGAAGCTATTGTGGATTGAGTTGGAGTCTGGTGTTCCCTATGGGTAAAGCTTCCAGGGAGTTTGCCTTGGGTGGAAGCTAGCTCAGAAGATCTGTCGATTTGAGTCCAGAGAGATGACTCTAGGACAGCCCTTGTAGGAGCTCAGCTCCCGGTAAGGGCTGCCAACGTTGGGTGTGAAATGCTCAGCTGGTACGGATGGTGGGAAGGGAAAAGAATTTCTCTAGGCCAAGATTAGGGTATAAAAGTTTTAGTTTGGGGCTGGGCAGGGTGGCTCATGCCTGTAATCCCAGCACTTGGGAGGCTGAGGCGGGTGGATTGCCTGAGCTCACAGGTTGGAGACCAGCCTAAACCAGATGGAGACTACGTCTCTAAAATTAGCCGGGTGGCAGGCGCATGTAGTCCCAGGTACTTGGGAGGCTGAGGCAAGAGAATTGCTTAAGCGCGAGAGTTTGAGTTTGCTGTGAGCTATGACGTCACGACACGCTATCAAAAGTAACAAAGTGATACTCTCTCTCAAAAACAAGGGGGAGGGAATACGGATGCCAATACAGGAAAGAGCAAGGCAAATAGGAGCTTGGTGAAAGTCCTGGAGGTCCAACTGAGGGGCGCATCTTGGGATATCGGTAAGGAGGGAGTGAAATTTGTGGGCCTGGTTGTTTTTGTGAGCTATATGCACTTGAAGGTGAGGGTAAGACCCTCCCCACGTGCAAGCCGGCTTGCACGTGTCTGAAACACGGAAGTGCTCAGTAAATGTTGAATAAGTAAAGAAATGAGGGAATCAGTTCGGTTTTGGAGAGCTTATTGTATGCCAAACAACCTGCTAGCACGTTTCATAAATTATCTCTAGGCTCGGCGCCTATAGCTCAACGGGCTAGGGCGCCAGCCACGTACACCTAAGGTGGCGGGTT